AGCGACAGTTTTTTTTTCTAGTGATGGAGTGCGATGGATTAATTTTCAATGGAAAAGTTTTCCAATGATGCAGTGTGATCGACCAAACATGATGAAGAGCCTAACCCTATATATCCACTGTCTCAGTTTAAAGACAGCTCCAACGATAAAAGTGTCAAGGATAATTGCTGATCAATTATGAAAGTAGCTGATAAGTAATTCCTCAATGAAGGAAAAAAGCAACAAGAGCCCTCAAGAACACCACAAACAAAATTGCTCCCTTACAGTTACACCGCCCTGCGGTCCGTGGGCAACCCCTGGCTCACAAATCGCTTTATGGCATTTCCCAGTAGTGGACAACATCCAATTCAAAGAAAAGAATATGAAAAACAACAAAGACACGAACGAAAAACACTTGAAAAAGGAAAAATTCAAAAACCTGGCGTCCGAATTTGGGGTTACGTGCAGTGTGCAGCTTTTGGTGCATGTCGAGCTTTTGCACCACAGAAATTGCATCATTCGTGATTTTTACGCGTTTTACCTTACGAGATGGGTTGCAGTTGACTGTATGTGCTCCCAATGAATAAAATGTGATGAAGGAGAGCAGAATTATTTATGGGCACGAGCGCGGTCAGCAAAAAGTACATGCAGTTCCGATTAATGCCCGCCGTCCCAACAAAGAACAACTGAGCGGCTCTCCGTCAGAGGGCAGCTAGCAAGTGGGCGGTCCAACTGGGCGGGCGTTAGAACTAGAACTTTGAGCGGCTGTAGCTCGCTCCTCGCTCACTGTGGAGTCGCGAGAGTGGGATAGTATCTAGCTTGGGGGCTGAACTACCTGCACAAGGAAGGACGACCATGTACTACTTGAGCGCGGGGCTGTCTTTAAAATAAAAGGACAGTCTTTGTCGTCGATTAATCCCGTTCTGGGATGCGACACGCAGTCTACTCCTGGTAGAGGGAGTGGGAGGAGAGGTGTAGATGGCCTGGTTGGCTCGGGTGGGAGCCGATCCGGGATTCGATCCCCGGACCGTGCAAACAGCTCATAAGTAAAGGTTTTGCGAAAGACTCCTTCTCTCCTTTCCTTCCTTTCCTTCTCTCCTTCTATTCTTCCACTGTAATTTAACAATGTCATGCGAGGGACGGCAGAGGTATTACCGAGAGAAGCTGCCGCTTACCACGCGCACGGTCCGGAGGTTGAATACTGGGTCGTATCGCACCTCGGACAAGCAAGCCTCAGGCGACGATAAATCGGTACTAGAATCATTTGTGAGGGTAAATGCATTGTGTAAGCCATATCGCAAGGCACTACGACTATAGATGAAACTAACGCACGTTGTTTCCAAAAGGATTGATGACGACTTCATCCTTTTTGACCTTTATGATGAGAAAACGGAGAAAAATAAGTAAAGAAACCTTATTCAAGAGTTTTTGGCGATTTTCCAAATACTTTTCACGTTCCTCCTTTCGCTTTTCTTCGATCGCTTCCTGGAAATGTTCGACAGCTATTGAAGACACCTTACGGACTTTCAACGAAAAGAGACAGCGTAGCGCGAAAATATAACGAGCTATGAGAAAGAGTATGTATTGACTACCCAGTCCTTTTCTGCTTTCTCCGCCATTTCCTTTTCAGCACGAAATTTCACAGCTCGTTGGGCACGATCCACCGACGGCACTTCCAATAGCACTTCGCCCGGAGTCGGAATGTCTTCTTTCCAACCGGAGACCTTGAACACTAGAAATCTTACCAAGCATCGATGTATTCAAGCATCGAATGTATCGCCTGTAAAAGTGCATTTCTGAAGAGTGAAAAAAAATACCCGAACTGGTGTACTAGGTCCGGCTTCTTGTAGTTGTTGGCCAGTTTCATTCGTCATCGTCCGTACCCGACACCACGCTCCACCCGCGACAAGGATGGAATTCCGACGTAAAGTCCCACGAGTCACCACCACAGTACAAACCTTACAATTCCTGAGACCAAAAAAAAGGATCAAAGATTGCAAAATTCTTTCAATAACGTGAAAATACTGAGCGGATGTACTGCACTGCTACATGGCGCTTGAGAAAGGAATGAACTACGTGTCGATTAGCTCATTTTAGTGATATATGCGCGCGCGGCCAGGGAATCAAATCAATATCGATTCCCGCCAGGCCAACCTAAATTTACCGTCCTGTACGATAGAAAGCCAACCAAGTCTTCTATCGTCCGGGGGCGGTAAATTGCCACATTCGTCTGGGCTGATAAGAACACTGATTCGGTCATTGGCTTGTAAGCCATCGTATGAGCCACATCGCGTTCAATAAGCCACTGCGATTCCGAAGTAGAATACTTGACTTGATCCTTTTCCTTTTGAGCTGAGTACTCAAAAGAATCCGCAGCTCATTCTTTGTATTGGTAATCACAGCCAGGACACTCCATTTATAGTGGAAAATCCTCCGAAACCCGAACTCCCTCGCTCGACGGGTTCACGAGGAGGAACAGACACCCGACCATCGACCAGATAGAGCATTACAGGGTAAGCAGGGAAGAGTTTCGTAAAAAAAACCTATTCTGTACCAACTAACCATGAACCACCGATGATTCAATGACGACACCTTCAACTAATCCTTTCGGCGTACTTTTTAATCCCATCAAATCGGACTGTATCAGCAGCGCCTCCTGACCAGATGTTGATTAAACGTAGGTACAGGAGCACAATGAAAT